CTGTGTTTGTGGGAGAAACATTAAGAAATATTAAACACTCCCTAGCATAGCAGATTTAAAAGTTCTGTGGACATACATTCAGGTACTATGAACATAAAAGGCATTAAAGGAAGTGCCATTTTAGTTAAAGCCTCAAGGATTGGGATAGGGTGTTGTTATCCTAGACCCCAGAGGTAACTCACTCAGCTGTCACATGTTTGGCCTTTACTCCTGGAGTGGGAAGAAAGGATTTTTTTTTCCCCTGAAGCTCTCCTAATCCTCTTGCCTCTGCTCCCAATTGCTAGAATTATAGGTGTGTCCCAGCGCACCCATCCAAGCTCTTAATACAGAAGAATACAAACTTATTAAAATGGTCTGACTCCTCATGGCCACGGATGGAACCAAGGAGAAAACAAAATTCACATCTATCTACCATGGAGTAGAGTATACTTGTGTATAAGGTGATGCGGTAATGGTCTTCATGCTCCTGTACCAGACATGCCAGCACGGACAACGGAGCAACAAACAGGAGAGGGTGAGCCGAAGGAACGCAGTGAGACAGGGAGGGAGGCTGAGCCGATGGACGGTAACAACGAGTGAGACGAATGGGAAGGATTTAAAGTTTGAGGCTGCAAGGGAGAGGTTCCCATGGAAGGTCTTGGCGTATAAAATAGACTGAACGTTGACGTGGTGAGAAAAGCAGGTTATCGTTAGACTATCGAGCAGTGTGCTCAACCTTCCTAATCTGGGACCCCCACCATGAAGTCACTTTTATTATTGCCACTTCATAACTGCAATTTTGCTACTGTTACAAATTGTAATGCAAATTTTGGTTTTGGATGGTCGTAGGCAACCCACATGAAAGGGTCATTTGACACACACACACACACACCATGAGCCACTGCTGTAGACCATTCATTAGCTGAGGTAGGGTAGTTTTATAAATTCCCACCTACCACCAGCTCCTGACTTTTTTTTGTGTGTGTGTCCATAAATAGCCTTCACTGTCAACTCCACGTATCTTAAATCAATCTTGAAAAATGTGTGCTCTCAGGCCAGCAAGATGGTTCAGTGATCAAGGGAGCTTACTCTGAAGCATAGCCTGAGTCCAGTCTCCAGCCTACATAACAGAAGGAGAGCCCACATCTCCGCTTACTCTAACTTTCACGCCTATGCTCACACACTTTCTTCTAAAAGTGATTTACCAAAAATAAAAAAAATAAAACGTAAAATGCAGTCCATATTTTTGCAGAGTACAGCCCGTTGTAGAATATCCTATAATCTGAGCCTGTCTGACAGTTCACTCATGGTGGCAGGTGTGTTTAAGCCCCTCACTCAAGAGACAGAGGCCTGTGGACCACTGAGTCCAAAGCCAGCCTGGTCTACTTGCATAGTTCCAGGCCAGACAGCTACAAAAACCTCTGTGCTATATGGAATCTTAATTGTATCCCTCTCAGGAGACATGATCCTAGCTTTTGGTTTTGCATTTCTTTTTGTTTTTTGGGTTTTTTTTGTTTTGGTTTGGTTTGGTTTTTCGAGACAAGGTTTCTCTGTGTAGTCCTGGCTGTCCTGGAACTCACTCTGTAGACCAGGCTGGCCTCGAACTCTCGAACTCAGAAATCCGCCTGCCTCTGCCTCCCAAGTGCTGGGATTAAAGGCGTGTGCCACCACCGCCCAGTTTGGTTTTGTATTTCAAGACAGGGTTTCTCTATGTGGTCCTGGCTGTTCTAGACCAGGCTGGCCCCAAACTCGGCTCTGCCTGCTCTGCTTCCTGAGTGCTGGAATTGAAGGTGTTTGCCACCATACCAGCCATATTGTAGCTTTTGGTTTTTCAAGTTTTTCTTTATTTCATTTATGTGTGTGTGGAGTTCAAGGGACAACTCAACTTAAAAGATTCAGTTCTCTCCACTGAGTAGATCAAACTCAGGTCTGTCAGGCATAGTGGCAAATGTCTTTACTGGCTGAGGCATCTTGTTCTAGCTTTTCACATCGTCCTGCCAGATTAAGGCAAGCAGCAGAGTGTAGCAGTAGGGCAGGAAATGGGGTTTCGGTTCAGACCTGTGTTAAACCCTTTTATCTACCAAATAGCACTTTTCTTGAGACAAAATTACAATTTAACAGTGAGGGTGAGGATTGTCCTCAAGACAAGTGTCTTATTGCCAAGTACCTCCTGGGTCCCACCCCACCCCTTAAATTAGGCTACTCTGTTTTCAGTGTTCCCAGTGAGCTGAGCGGGAAGGTTTGTTTATAGACCATAGAGGCAGTAACAAAAGAAGATTGGGCCTCTGCATTGCTCTCCTTAGAAACCTAGGTCAGGGAGACAAAGGAAACAAAACTGGCCAATACAGGTAACTTCAGGGGCTTTTGTTTTTTGTTGTTGTTTTCCTATGAAAGAATTAAGGCATAGAAAACTTTGCTGTCATACCAATGAAACTGGTTTGGCATATTTGATTATTTCTCTAATCTTGATTTCTCAGGTCCATTTCAGTCTGGTGACTTGGAGTTTTGTGGATTAGCCAGGTCTTGTGGATACTGATCGTACTCCAAAATTGTCTCGTTTATTCTGGGAGTGGACTCAGGACTTCATGTGTGTTAGGCAACATTCAACAACTGAACAATATTCTCCAGCTGAACAATAAACCGAGTTGTATGTTTCTGGAAGTAAACAATTCCAACAGCTGGGAATGGTAGTATAAACCTGCAATTCCAGTACCTGGGAAACCAAAGCAGGAGGATTGTGAGTTCAAGGCCAGTCTGGGCTACATATGGAGATTCTACCTAAAAATAAAACAAGTCCAACAGATAGTTTGGGGTGGAATTCACCAAAATATCATAGGTTCCATCAAATCTGATTTTTTTCAAAAGCTCTAACCCAAATGCTTCCTTTCCCCTATCCAGCAGTTTTTGTTTGTCCCTGGGGGTTTAGGCTGTACAATATTGACCTACCCTTTTACGATGTTAGCTGTGGGACAGCCTCACGATATTTGGCAGTTTCTACAAAGATCTGGAGCTTATTTCCAGCCAGACATAAACACATCCCTTGGGGGCCAGAGTCAAGAGTCTTGACACAGCCTTGTACCCTGCCACACACAGACTCAAGAGTGCACTTTCACCCTGCTTTCTAGCGTCCAGTTTATTTTTGTTACTGCAGGACCTTCGTTCTTTTTCAAAAGACAAGGGTTTATAGCCCAGGCTTGTCATGAACTCGGCCTCCACCTCCCAAGTCCTGGGCTTACAGGTGTGCACCATCATGCCTAGCTTCCCATTTTACCCCCAAAAGAGAGAGGGAGAGGGGGGAGGAAAGGGAGAGAGAAGAGAGGAAGGCCTTTTGCATGCCAGGCAAGGACTTGATCACTGGACTATATACTTCCAGCCCCAAGGTTGTATTTAAGTGTAGAAATATTCCTAAAGAGACCCAGTTGTGGCCAATGTCTTGGGCAGGCAAAAAAACAAAACCGGTGGGATTTGCGTAGGATGCCATGGGTAAATCCTGACCCTCCCAGGCCTGTTTTCTAGAGAAAGATCCTTTAGCCCCTTCATATGAGCCCAACCCCTCCTGTATCAGCTCTAAAGGAGCTCCGGCTGCGGTGAAAGGTTCGTGTCGCATACAGAGAGAACTTGGGTCGGCACACCCCGCTACCCTACTAAATGTCATTTTAGACTATAGACTGAACTGAGATCCTGCACATCAACAGGCTCCGACAGACTTCGGGTTTACTCTGAAACCTGAAAGGCAGGACCTGGGCTGGCCAGCTCGTGACTGCAGGGCGGAACCTTGATGCTCTCGCCGCAGCAGGCCGGCGGAAAGCGCTAAGGGAAGCCCGCGCCTGCGCGTCGCCATCTTTCTAAAGGCGTGTACGTCCTGTCATTCGTTCTTCCCTGCGCCGGGCTGGCCACTGGCGGGGTGGGGCGGGGCCGGCCATGGCGACCGGGGAGCTCCGCGGGCATGCGGTGCGGATGTCCAGCCAGGGGTCCCAGCCTGGCGCGGCTCTCGACAGCGTGGCAGGAGCTGCGGGGCTGCCCTCCGCACAGAGCGGCGGCGCGGCCCTCCGGCTCGGGGAACGGCCGCCCCCCGCCATGGAGAAGCGGGGACCCTACTTGGTGACGCGCGCACCTTCCATTCAGGCTAAGCTGAGTGAGTGCGGTGGGCTGCGTGAGGGTCGGTGCACGAGCGGGCTGCTGTGGCCTGGGGTCGGGCCCTAGAGCCCGGTGATCTTGTCCCCAGAGGGCAAGGGGTTTAGGTGCAGTCCTCTCCTGTCCCCGAGAGCCCGGAAAGAGCGGAATGGGGAAGACCCGGCTGACCTAAGACCCTTTGACTTCCAGAAAAGCACCGGGACCATGCCAAGGCCGTTCTACGGAGAAAGGGCATGCTGGGTGCCTTGACGAACCGCCCCGATTCTTCAGGGAAAAGGTCTCAGTGGGCTTTACTTCCTCTGTGTCAGCAGCTTCCAGAGAAGGCCTTATCCCTTCCTGCTTGGGAAACAGGGCACTGTTTAAGGTTGAGCTAGCTAGCTTATCTGCTGGCACCTTAAGAATGGGAACTAGGAGAGATGGGGGTGGGAGGGAGAGAGAACGAGAACAGCCTCTCTACTCGTTAAGACTGTGCTGGTATCACGAAATAGGCTCTGTAATAGGGGAGTTCCATCAGTGCGTAGATAGGATATTCATTAAAGGATGCGATGGTGGCTGGAGTCCCAGGAGTGAAAATGGTGAGCCCATGAAGTGTTTTGGGGAGTTTTAAAAAGCAGAATGGTACGCTCTTAGAGCTGAATAAGACCTCACGTAGCCGTTTATAGCTGAATGTTGAAACTCAAATGTGAAAGGATTTGCCTGGGACCCTCTGGTTAAGGCGGAGAGTTGCTGCTTTACCCGGTTCATGAAATGGGGAGGTGTGCCTTTCCCAGGAGCTTTCAGTGTAGTAGAGTGGGCCAGAAAAGAATCTGAGGAGCCGGAGCCAACTGCACAGAGCAGCAGGTCGTGGTGGCTGAGACCGGGTAGAAGGAAAGTCTGAGATGGTCCAGTCAGTTCTTTCTGCGTAGGGACCAGGGCTCTGGCCTTCCCTGTGAAATGCCTGTGCTTTCTTCCCTGCCCCATCTCAGGTCAGTGAAGTTTAACAAGGGCTATACTGCTCTTAGCCAGAGTCCAGATGAAAACCTGGTGTCCCTTGACTCTGACAGGTGAGTGCTTTCCTTGGAAGTAGTCAGGAGTGACTTGAACAGCACAGCAGATTGCTTGATGCCCTTGCCTGCTGCCTCTCTCCCCCAAGGCCCTTCATGTGCGTTTCAGAGCTCCCCTCTTTAAGTGCCATCCCTTCCAGGGATGACATGGCTGGAAGAGTTCCTGTCCTATTATGCTTGCACTTTTAGTGAGAATGTCTGTTTCTGCTGGAATCCTCTGAGGGAGCCATCGGTACTCACTGGGACTCTGGGCTTGAGTTCTCTGGTGTGTAGTCTTTGCTTCACGAGTCCTTCAGACCCCCTTGCATGTCCTTGTCGCCGTTTGCAGCTGTGCTACATAGATGTCCCCTGGACTGATTGTCTTCCTCTTCTCCTAGTGATGGGGAGCTGGAATCCAGATACTCCTCCGGGTATTCCTCTGCAGAGGCAAGTCCAGAGCGCCTGTCTGTGCAGTGTCAGGCTGCAGGCAGCACCACCACCACGGCCAAAATGTTTGTTTGGTGCCTGCTGTGTGCACAGCACGGTGCTAGCTTCCACTCTGCCCTCTAGTCTTCCACTATACCCTCTTCCCTAAGCAGAGATAACAGGCGTCTTAGGATGGCTGTTGAGATTCAGGAGACTATATATCCTCAGGGCTAGAAGTGATCTCAGAAGGCCATAATCTAGGAATCCTCTTGGTAGGTTCCAGCTGAGTGTTTATAAACTGCTGGGATGCTTCTTGTGATTGGCCATGCACTACGCCTAAGAAGTATTGCTTGCTGCCCTCTCCCAGCAAACTAAAACTCCTTCTTTGGGTAGTTTCCAGGTCTTCTGTTTCTTGCAGCCTGGGCCCACTGGTCATAGGCCTGCCTTCCAGTGTCGAAAGGTAACACAAGTCTTCCCTTTCTTTCTCTGAGTCAGCATTCAGCCCTCCCCCACCCATCGTCCGCTGGGCTTGCTTTCCTCAGTTCCATCTCTGGGAATAGCCTGAGCATAGCCCCTAGGCTGGTCTTTAGGACATCTTTCCAGATTGATTGTCTCAGAGAGAACCAAAGGGACAGAAAATTCTCAGCCAGGCACAGTGGCATGTGCCAGTACCAGTACAAAGGCGCTGCAGTGGGGACAGGCCCACACTGGGTAGCTCCTTCATTCTCCTAGGAGTCTTTGGCTAATCTCAGTTTTTGCAAAGGAGAAAACAGCCTGCACATTGTATGCTCCTTATATGTCTAAGATGTTAAGATTGTCAAAAGCTAAGAAAATTCTGTCAAGAATCACAAGTCTTAAAAGTTTCCTAGCCTCACTGATGTCCTGCCTGCCAGGACACTGGTGGAACCAGGCTGACTTTGCAGGAGCCCAACAGCACAGAAGGAACTAGCAGACAAAGCTGTCCCCTACCCCTTTCTGCTATCCCACTAACACTCTGGCCTATTTTTCTGTTGTCAACCTTCCTTCCCCTTTTGAAACAGTTTCCTCTCTACATAGCGTTGGCTGGCTTGGAACTCACTATGTAGACCAGGCTTGCCTTGAACTCAGAACTGCCTGCCTGTCTCTCAAGTGCTGGGATCAAAGGCATTGGGCCACCACAGAGGACAGCCCCATATTCCTGAATCTTGACAGGGATACCTGGGTTTCCAGTGGGGAAAGCTAGTACACTGATTTTTTTAAAGTGAAGACTGGCTGGTTCTCAGCCTCTGGGGAGTTCCTCACTGCTGGAAAGACCCTGCAGGGTGAGGGTGACCCTTCTGTAATGCAGGATGTGCAGCTGGCCTGGGGCTAGGTAGAGCAGGGACAAGAAGCCTCGGTGTGGTGACAGGGACCTGCCTTTAGGCAGCAGCTCTGTACGCCTCGCATCCTGTTTTACAGTTCTCCCTTCTTCCTTTAGCAGGTGAACCAGGATGTGAGCCGACAGCTGCTGCAGGACGGATATCACCTGGATGAGATTCCAGACGACGAAGACCTGGACCTCATTCCTCCCAAGCCTGTCGCTTCTTCTACATGTTCTTGCTGCTGGTGCTGTCTTGGGGATTCTTCCTGTACCCTCCAGTAGCCATAACCCTCCAGGATGGGCCGATGGCCCTGATGGCCCTTCACAGCTCAGTGCACTGGGTACCGCTACCAGCCTAGAACCACTGGAGGCACTGACCTCTGGGCGTAGGCCAGTGGCCTACAGGTAGCCCTCACCTGGTGCTTCTCATGTCAGAGGCCCCCGTCTGGGTCATAGGTGATACATGGAAGTCTGCAGGTTCCACTGGGGCAGTTTCAGGAAGCCACTTTAGTAACGGCGGGAGGAGAGACTTTCTGTGGTTCTTAAGCTGCTGACAAGGATTGCTAAGAAAACCATACAGACATTCTGACATGTTTGTCAAGGTGTTCTGAGGAGGGAGAAGAAAGAACTCCTCCACTCAAGGCTGTGCTGGGGGGCGTGGTGGGAGACAGAGAACAGCACTTTATGGCTTGCAGGGGGAATCTGAAAGAGTACAACTGGGACCAAGTCAAGAAAGCACCAAGCGGGTTGTTCCTTAGGTTATATCTTGTCTGGTTATGGCAAGGACTCTAGTTTAATGATGGACTTGAGACATTCTGCTGGTCCTGCTGTCTGGATGGGCTTAGTAACTCTGTCAGCTCTTCTCCCATTAGACGAGAACTGCTCTGTCCTATATGTTTCTCTGTAGTTCGTTCCTTGGCCTTGGAGAATTTTTCCACCTGTTTTTTTTTTTTTTTTTTTTTTTTTTAGGTAAAAATTGGATTGGCTGCTGGGGCTGTCACCAGAAACCTGCAGTTTTTGTGATTGCCAGCAGAGGGAGCTGCTGGGAAGTCAGTGCCTTCCTAAGTTTAGCCTATTAAGCTTTTGAGAAGTATTGACGGGTATCCTGGTATGTGACTGTGGCCTACATGGAAATGTTTAGACAGGATGGGGAGGAGAGACCTAAGCCAGCTCCTGGACCCCACTTGAGTTGGTGAATCTGCAGTGGAAGGGGCCTTCCCTCTAACAAGGCACACTCCTCTCCCCCAGCACAGGGCTCACAGGCTGGAGCTGTAGTGCTGGTGGGACACTTGCCTAGCATGTGCAAGGCTAGGGGGTGGGGGATGGGGCGCACAAAACAAAACAAGCCTGTGGGTGAGCACAGCTCAATCCCAAGCCTGAACACAACAAATGCAGGAAGAATTTCTTCTGCTCTACAAAGCCTCTTCCTGGAATTTAGTTTTCCCAGACCCTCTTGCCCAGGATTCTCGTCTTTATCTTACCCAGGTGTGTGGTGAGGCTTGGGGTAAATACAGTTTCCAGCATGAGGGGTACAACAGTCAGAGTTAGGGGTTAGGCACCACAGGTGACTGACTGTCCTGCCCAGTGACTACTAGAGGCTTAGGAGGAATGTTATGCCCACTCTGTCCTTTCACAAATAGTAGCAGAAAGGGTAAGATCAAGAGATAAGGCCTTCCCCGTTACTTGACCACAAACCTGTCCTTATGATTGCTGCCAGTGCCTAGCAGGGGGTTTTGTTGTTCTCGGGCTGTGGAAGGTTGAAAAGCAGTATACCATGTCTAGGGGCTTCTCACTCAACTGTCTGGCAGCATCACAGGAGGAAAGATGGGACAGAAACCAGAGGCACATCTGCTTGGTTCTTGGGTTGGGTCACAGATGCTGTGTTCTGCAGTGGGAGTCTGTAACTCTGTGCAAGGATCTCATATTCTGAGCACTTTATGGAAGGCCTGCAGGGAAGAAACACAATCCATATCCCGGCCTTCCAGAACTCTGCAGAGGTGGAGACCTCGGTGCAAAGGGAATAGCTATGGTACAGAGCAGAGAAAGACTTGGTGGTAGGGCTCGGTGAGGCCAGCAGTGCTTGTGGAACTGAAGTGTGGCTTCTAGTACTATTTGGTTAAAAGAGGGCAGCCCAGGCATTTGGCAGCTCCTGGGGGTGGGCAGTATCCCCAGACCACACCCTCTGCGGTGGTTGTTGCTGTAGTTAACATTGAGGTACTCGGCTGGAACTGTCCCTGGAAGGAAAGTTCTTGAGCTGGGTGGCCTTGTGCGGGAAAGCATTACTTGTGGAGAAAGCTCAAGAATGTCCAGCTGGGAGGGTGGAAATGGACAGCTGTTAGGGGCTGGACGAAAACAACACCGATAAAGGCACTATGGTGCCCACATCGTAACTGCCTTAATTCTGAGGGCTGGGTGTTCTGCAGGAGGCAGTCCCTGGGGAGGAGTGCAGCTGAGCCTCCTCAGGAGTGGCTCTCCTGTGTTTACACTGCTCCTCAGACCTCTTTCTCGGCTTGCACTTTCACAATCTGTTATAATAAATGCAATCCTGGTAGTGAGCTGTGTTGTGTTGCAATGGGTTTTTTGTTTTTGTTTTGTTTGAGGCGGTTTTTCTGCATGCACCACTACCACCCAGCTTTGGTTTTTATTTTTATCTTATATGTGTGTGTGGGGGTGCACTTAAGTGTATGTGCACCACATACATGCAGGTGCAAGAGTCCACGGAAGTCAGAAGAGGCGGCAAATCCCTTAGAACTGGAGTTATGATTGTGAACCACCCCATGGGAGCTGGGAATGAAACCTGGGTTCTCTGCAAAAACAGCAAGTACTTTTTAACTGCTGAGTCGTCTCTCCAGCCCCCAATACTTAACACTAGCCTAAGCTGTATGATAACCTCAACAATAAAGGGGCTAGGAGGATGGCTCAGTTGTTAAAGTGCTTACCAGGCAGGTATGAGGACCCAAGTTCGAATCCCTGAGCCCTCATCCCAAGCACCCAAATAAGAAGCCAAAGGTAGTGGCACACACCTGTAATCCCAGTTCTGAGGAGGTCAAGACAAAGGACCACTGAGACCTGCTGCTAGTCAGTCAGTCTAGCTGAACTGGTGAATTCCAGGCCAGTGACAGACACTGTCTTTAAAAGGGTAGATGGTTCTTGAGGAATAACACGTGGGTCCGTGTGCACATACATAACCATGTGCGAACACCAGAAAACAGCCATGATGAAGCAGAAGCAGAACTCTAAAGCCAAGCTTTGGAACATGAAGATAGTCTCAGAAAAAGGAAACTATAACAGCAGAAGGCCTGCCTGCAAGCTGTCCAACTGAGGCTGGAGCTGGCTTCCTCTCCCACCCCTTCCTGGAATCCAGCCTGCCCACCCCCTGGAGGCTGTATGAAGAATAAAACCCAAACTGGACAACATCAGAGAGCTCCTTCTTCCCACAATCAGGGGCAGGCAGACCAAAGGCTGACTGCTCTTTCCTCTGTATCCTCAACACAAGTGATCTAACTTGACAGAGCAGGAGGGAATGAGCTTCATTAGTCCACTGGCCTCCCACTCCCCTCCCCTCCCCTCCCCTTCCCTTCCCTTCTCTGCAGCTGAGAGGATGCTGAGCTAACGCTGGGTGATGCATGTTTGGGGCAGACTGGTTGCCTCTTTAGTGGACACACCCGACTCACGTAAAGTAGTGTTGAGAGTACAGTGGCCGGCCGGCCTCAGGCTTCACACAGACCCCCTCGTCCGGAAGATGGTCCAGCCTGGGAATGCTCTGGAGTCACTAATGCCAAATTCATTATTTCTAATCCAGTATACATTCAAAGAGTGCACAACAGGGACAGGGATTGGGCTGGATCTGAAATGTGGAACTGGCCAGGGTATAGGTGATGGGCAGAGAGGCTAAGAACTGGTCTCTACAGCAGACAGCAGGCCCGGAATATCAGCAGATCCTTGGGCAAAGTAAGCTTCAGTAAAACACTCTCGTTGGCCCCAATGAAGAGCACCCCACCACGCTCCAGAGGGATCTCTGCTTGTACTGTGGGTGTGATAGCTGTCACTGCCCCTTGGACCATCAGAAGGATGCTGGCAGAGTCTAGTGTCAAGACTTTGTATTCAGTCACAGAGCCAGGGACCTGGTGGAAAGAAGCGATGGAATAGTATAGTTCACACTCTGCTCCTGGGTTCTAGACCACCTCAGGGGCTCTGCTGCCTCCTTTCCCACTCTTCAGGCTCTTGGCACCATAAAGGTCCATATCTCATCCCTGGCAGAGAAATAGATGGGCTCTGTGGCTGCCCCGACTGGGTGGGCTTGACAGGGAACCCAGCCCCAGGTATAATAACCCTGTGAGTCTGACATGCTATACCAGGACACCCTCTAGGTCCACCTACTCACCTCCATCTTCATAACCGTGAAGTCTGGCACAGGGGGGTCAAAGATACAGAGATAGGGGTCATCTTGACTCTGTGCTGGGGCAAACAGCCTGTCCTCGCTGGGGCTAGGTGTATAGTTCAGCATTTCACACAGGGTTGGCACATCAATGAATTTGGGTGTCAGGCCGGCACGGACGGTATTGTCGGAACACGCCATGCATTCCACGCAGTCTGGAGACAGATAAATGTCATGCAACAAGATGAAGTAAGCATGGAGTTTGGCTCTCCAGGGCTGGGCCTCCTAACTTAGGCCATGCCAATACCTATAAACCGGGCTAAAACGTGTGGATAGCATTGTGGGAAAATATGTGAAGGTACCAGGCCCCAAATTATGTTAACCCCTGCATTCACAAGGTTTCTGCAACAGAATCCTGTGAGTGGATAAGCTGCCAACAGTCAAACAGGACATCCAGTCAGACATGATGGTTCATGCCTATAATCACAGCACTCACACGGCTGAGGGGTGGAGCTGCCATACGGCTGAGGGGTGGAGCTGCCATACGTTTGAGGCCAGCCTGGGCTACAGAGTGAACCTCTGTCTTAAAACAAGAACAGCAACAAAAGGGAGGCTCAGCGGGTAAAAATGCTTGATATGCAAGCGTGAGCACCTGAGGTCAAATGCCAAAAAACGCACTTTAAAGCCAGTGTGTAGCACAAACAGTGGTAATCTCAGCACTCCTGTTGGGAGTTAGGAGAATCTCTGGAAGTTCACAGGCCACCTAGATTGGAGTCTGTGGTGGAAAAAAACAAACAAAAAACAAAAACCAGAAAAACAAACAAAAAATCAAAACAAAAGAGACCCTCAAACCAAGTAGAATGAACCCCAACCCCTAGGCTGTCCTGAGCTCCACGGGCCTCCTTTGGTCCACGTGTACCTGTGTTCACACACAAAGCATCTTTTTGTTGCATCAGCCATATTTTAGTGTAAAAACCTCTCCGGGCAGGTAGCATTCGTTGGTATGTAATCACAAGTGAGAACAGAGAGAACAGCAGCTTTGTCCAGTTTGGCTTGGCTCAGATGGATTTCCACTCCTCAAAGGGGCTTAACATCTTATGTTATAAGCTTATGTCATACGGTATATGTTATGAACTTGTAGCTCGTAGCAGATTATGAGCAGAATCTACCGAGCTGGCAGCCACCATCCATTCTGGCTCAGTCACCCCACGGTCACCAACCTCTCTTTCATCCACACGGACAAACAAGTCCCAAGGGGGATGGCAGTGGGGCACACCACTGAAATGGACTCACCTCCCCTCAGGTAGGCATGGGGCATGTTGGCCTCCAGAAACATGGCTTCCCCAGGCTTCAAGGTAAGCAGGTTCAGGAAGTAGATGGCGAAACATCCGATGTCACCAGGGTACTGCTGGTGCAGCTGTAGCAGGAGCTTCCCATGAATGTCCTCCATGCTGTTTCCGTCAAATACTGAGGGTCACAGAGCATCCCAAGGCCACTAAGACACGCATTGCAGCCACGGCTTTACCCTGACAAGGGATTCTTGGTGAACCGTCCCTGCCTGTATGAATGCAGCTCTTAGGCAGGGCCTCTCCTTAAATATCCCTCATCTTTGCACAAAAAAACCATCTCTCACCTCAACCACGTGCAGGTCTGGCCTGGCTACAACAGCTGGGCATTGTGGTGCACAGTATGATCCTAGCACCCAGGCCAAAGGCTCACCATGAGTGAAGGGTAGACAGACCAGACTACAGAGGATGACCCTGTCTCAAATGATACAGGCTAGGGACCGACCTCAGTTGGTGGAGTGCTTGCCCAGCAGGCATGCAACCCTAGGTTTGATCCTAATTCCCACAAAACAAACAAACAAACAAACAAACAAACAAAAACAGGGATGGTGGCACATGCCTGTAATCCCAGCACCCGGGAAACGGAGGGAGGAGTGTCAGAACAGTAAGGCCATTCTTGGCTATATAACAAGTTTGAGACCAGCCTTGGGTACAAGAAACCTCACCTCAAAAGGAGATAGGGAGAAAAAAAAATTGTATGAAAAATATTTAAAACCCATATACTGCCGGGCAGTGGGGACGCATGCCTTTAATCCCAGCACTTGGGAGGGAGAGGCAGGTGGATTTCTGACTTCGAGGCCAGCCTGGTCTACAGAGTGAGTTCCAGGACAGCCAGGGCTATACAGAGAAACCCTGTCTCGGAAAAACCTTAAAAGTAAATAAATAAATAAATAAATAAAAATAAATAAATAAAACCCATATACCACTAGCATCTCCAGTTCAGATCATGACAAAAACATCTCCTGACAATTACCCAGAAACAGTCTCTGATTAGGGACCACTTACAGCTCTTACAGCTCGGAGTCTATTGCAGACAGGGAGGTAACCCGAAAGCGTCGTGAAGAGTGCCATATTCCCTATTAACCAAGGGCTTCCCTTCTGTTAGTACTTCAACTCCCTCCCATGTCTCAGGAAGTCTGTCCATCTTAGCAAACCTGGATGGTTGCCTTCCCCAGAGAGCGCACAGGCCACAATGTGCTATGGGCCAAAACATGCGCTGGAAACTGACCGGCCAAGAGAAGAAGAGCTCAGCCCGGGCTGGAGGAATGAGGGAGGGGTAGGGGTGGGAACAGGGTGAACAGAGTTTCCTGGAGCATGCAGACAAGGGAGGATGTATTCAGGATGTGCAGGACCCACAATAAAGAAAGCAGCAGTGTTCCAAGTGGGAGAGAGGTTTGGGTCTTCATAGAGACACTTGCTCAGTGGCTATTCTGCTAAACACTAGGACGGAGGTGAAGTCTCTGGCCTAGAGAACCTGGGTTTGAACAAGTGAGTATGTGGTGCTAAGGAATCCCTGCATACCTGGATGTCAGAACAGAGCGTGGGCCAAGGTTCTCCAAGAGTATGCAAGCAGAGAAGATACTCAAACCATGACACAGAACAAGAGGGCACGCTCAGGTGAGAGAAAGTGGCTGTGACACAAGCCCACACAGCAGGGAAAGATGGAACCCGAAGAGGGCTCTGGGCTGCCTGGAGAAGGAGCTGGCCTGTCAGGCAAGGAGCTGCCACGTAAAATGCTGTCAGCCTTGTTTCTCACTGTGTGTGTTGACTCTGCAGACAACAATGACACGACCACACCCACCCCCTCACTTCCTGAACTGTTAGCACAAGGTCGGACATCTAGGAAGGCTTTAAGGAAGAACTTAATAGTTAGGAGCACACGGCTTGAGTCCTCCAGAGAAGGATATGCTCCTTGGCCCCTTCCTGCTCTCCAGGCCCCTAAATGCAAGTCTGCCCCGTGGGAAGCAGCTGGACGGTTAGGAAGAGTTTAGTAGGAATGCCTGGGTACAGGGCCCTGATAGAATCCTCTAGGCCAGTCTGCTTCCAACCACCTCAAGAAAACCAGTTTGGAAGAAGCACTCAACCTGGGGCCTCACGCCACCAAGACTGGGAAAGAAACGGTAGCAGCCGATCTTAGGACCATCTAAGTCTGGCCCCTTTTAGTGTCCTGCTCGATGAAAAGGGCCAGCAATCCTGTCTCCATGGCTGCATCCATCCATCCTGTGTTGGGAGCCCAGGTTCTGTACCCACCCAGGCCTCTGCCACACCCACCTTGCTGGGAGACCCGCTTCACCAACAGGTTAAGCTGTTCCACCACCACCTTCTTCTCACTCTTCATCAGATGGGAAAAGCAGTTCTTCACAGCAGAGGCCATGGCCGCAGGATCACCACCCACGCTCTGCCTCAGCTGTACTGCGGCAGTCTCTCCAATCAGCGACTGGAACTCGGGCACCTCTGCAGGGTGGCCAAGGCAAGGAGATGTCAAGAACGGGGATGACAGAACACTGAGAAGTGAAGCCTTCCCACCACATCCCTAACCAAAGACCTATCAGCACTACACAAACCTTGCTGTGTAAACATAGCTCACAACCGGCCCTCAGCAACCACACCTGAGCCTGATCTCACTCCCCGGCCCACTGGCCTCTAAAACTGCCTCATGAGGCCAAGATCCCTTTAGCCTCTGCTCTCTGTCTCTATTTCCCCCATGGCCCAGGCTCCTCCTATGTTCCAGGCCCAGTACATGTACCCTCAGCATTCCTGCCCAACCTTACTCTTCAGAAAGGTCACAATCTCCTCCACTGGCCGGAAACCACACAAGCCCTGGAAGGAGGTGAGGGCAATGGCCATTTCTGGCTTGTGGTTGGCATCAGGGTAGTGCTCTGGAGCCAGGAGATGCAGCTTCTCTGCCAGCTCCTGTGGAGGGGCAGTGGAGGACAACAATTGGGGTACAGCTACCATCGTCAGGGGTACCACCAGCCTCTGCAGTCTCTGCTGCCCTCCCGCTCCATTTACCAGATAACAGTGGCTTCTTACCTAGGGCAATGAACCCAGTCAAGGTATCATGCAGAAACTTGGGGTTCAGCCAACCCAGAGCAGAAACATGGGCCAGGGGAGAGTTGGGACAGACTTAAGAGGCCTGGCCTGTGGCTCAGGAACCCTAAACAGCAGGCACATAAGCTGTGTGACATGGGTAAATGATCTTGGGGGGAGGTAGAGTTAGAAATATCTGGAGTCTCAGGCCATCCTCAGCTACATAATGAGTCTGAGGCCAGCTTGGGTTTTGTAAGACCAGTCTTTAAAAATCCCCAAATTAGGGGTTGGAGAAGTGGCTCAGCGGTTAAGAGCACTTGCTGCTCTGGCAGAGGGCTCGGGTTATTACCCAGCATCCACATGGTGGCTCACAACCATCCGTATCTCCAGTTCTAGGGGATCTGATGGCTTCTTCTAACTTCCAAAGTCACCAAGTATGCATGTGATGTACAAACATACATGGAGGCAAACATGCAAACACATAAAATAACCTTTTAAAAGGGGGCTGGAGCTATAGCTCAGTGGTTAAGAGCACCAGTTGCTCTTCCAGAGGACTTGGGTTCAGTTCCTTGCACCCACATGGCAGCTTGTGACTGTCTGTATCTCCAATCTCAGGGGACTTAAAGCCCTTTTCTGGCCTCCCCGCACACACTATACTGATGGAGTGCACAGGTCTACATGCAGGCAAAACACTCATGCACATAAAATAAAAAATAAGTATTAATTTTAAAAAGAGAGTCTGCGTAAGCCAGGCTGGGCTTTGCTCAAAAAGATTATACTGTGGGGTGCAGCTGAGGCAACAGCTGAGGTGCCTGCCCTGGCCTGGAATTGTGGAGTTGAACCCTCCAAGAGAGCCAGGTGGAGAAATGGCAGATATGAATAGACCTAGGCTGGGGGAAGGGAAGCCAAGGACAAACTTAGAGACTCTCTCCTGGCATAGGCCAGTCAATTGTCCACTTACACTTAGCTTCTGTATGAGTCACCAGCATCTGTGCCTGAGCAGCCAAGCCGGGGTTAGTAAGACTTGAATTTAGCCCTGAGTTAGAGCCTAGTACCAGCAGAGGAAAGCAGCACTAAAATCTGTGGGGGGAGGTCCTCCAAAATCCCTTCCCTACCCTGACCTCTGCACCCTCTGGTCCTGTACCTTGTCAGGGTGTGCCTGGACAGACAGGGCTGTTTGCACTGAGAGTACTTTGAAGAGGAAGGGCAGGTTCCCTTTAAAGGCGTTTTTGACCTTTGGCCCTAAGCAGTCCTGGTTTTCAGCAATCCACTCGCCTAAGGTCTTCTGGGAAATACGGTTGTCAAGGATCTTGGCATCTCCCCGGGGGTGTGCCCCCATCCACAGCTGGAAGAACAGGAAAGTTGAGAAAAAAGGGAACAGCTGACAGTCCTGGTTGTATGAGGCATGTATCAGTACTCTGGCTTATGAGGTGCTGGGGAAATCAAGCCTAGGGCCTCACACACGGTAAGGAGGTAATCTACCATCATCTGTCCAGACACTCAGATGTCTCTGAAGGCATGAGTCTCAACAACAGATCTGGGAGGGCTTAGTACTCATTTATTTTTAGTCTCAAAAGACATAACTTTTGCCGGGCAGTAGTGGCACACGCCTTTAATCCCAGCACTTGGGAGGCAGAGGCAGGCGGATTTCTGAGTTGGAGACCAGCCTGGTCTACAGAGTGAGTTCCAGGACAGCCAGGGCTACACAGAGAAACCCTGTCTCGAAACCACCCCCCCCAAAAAAGAGACATAACTTTCCTGTTTTGATTTTTCTCTTCTCATAAGAAGGAATAAATTTGGGATTCATAAAAATAAAAAATTAGGGAGCTGGAGAAATGGCTCATTGGTAAGAGGTCTTCTTGCTCTTCCAAAGTATTACCAGTCGGTTTCTGGCACCCACTTCAAGAGGCTCACAACCTTCTGTGACTCCAGCTCCAATCGATCCAATGTTTCTGACCTCCACAGACACCCGCACTCACACGCACATAACCACGTGTCCACACACACACCTATACATAAAACAGAATAATAAAAATAAATTTAAAAAAATTAATGAAAGTCAAACATTTATTTATGGCTAGGAATGCTGTTATGTGCCTTTTGTCCTAGCACTTAGAACATAGAGGCTGAGAGATTGGGCATTTGAGGTCATTCTCAATTACTATAGCAAGTTTGAGGCCAGCCTGGGCATCCTGAGACAATTCCCAAAAAATCAAAACAAATGAAGATTCAGTAAGTGCTAGAGCTGCAGGGCTTCAAGAAATGACATATGTTTAAGCTGTGTGTGGTGGTGCACACCTTTGATCTCAGCTCTCAGGAAGCAGAGGCAGCCAGATCTCTTGAGTTCAAGGCCAGTCTGGTCTACAGAGCAAGTTTCAAAAGCAGCCAGGGCTACATAGAGAAACTCTGTGTGGGGGTGCAGGGGAGCTGTCTCAGATATTTTATCCTCCTTTATATGAGACAGGATCTTCGTATAGACATCAGGTTCTCCTGCCTCAACCTCCCTAGTTCTGTGATTACAGTGGTCTCATTACAGCTTTCTTTGTGCATGTATTTGCACGGGTCCCAGAACCCACATCTTCTATGGGCTGCAGAAACTCTTCCCAACTGATCCGTATGGCCTGTGTCAGATCCTTTGGTCTTACTTAGGGTAAAGTGGACTGAGGTGCAGTCGGGGTCTTACCTCTGCATATGGCATGTCCTCTGAGATCTGGGCCAGTGGGTCACTGTTAGCCAGCAGGCTTGCCACTTCGCTTTTGGAGCCCACCTTCCCCCAGGCATAATGCTGCACCACACAGGAAAGTGGGAACACTGGGGACACAGACAGAAGGTCAGTTTCCATTCCACTCTTCAGACCTGGCCCTAGTGCTGGGGAACCATGAAGAGGGGCGGGGAATCTAACTAAAGGCAGGGTCTATGGAACGACACTCCTCTCTTTCACAATCGTCGATGTTCCCATCTGTGAGATTGGCAGATGCAGATCTTGTCTGCCATGGAGAAGAACTGAGTTCGGGTGATAGGAAAGGAAAAGGAACGAACTACCCATCTCTTGGCAATCGGTCAGTCCCGAAGTGATTCGAGCGCATCCACCATTCCCCTCTCCGACCCCCAGTTGGACTACCCATAATAGATCCCATCCTTGTGGCCAGCGTCCACGGGAATGGTCACGACCCGCTAGGTCCTGCCAATATTGGTCCCCAAGACGCGACCACCACCAAGATAGCCAACACCAGTCAACGGCTCACCTCGCTGACTCGCCATCCCAGTTGTCTGAGACCCGGCTTCAGGAACGTAAGCCCTTCCCAGCAGCCTCCGCTTGTCTGCGCGCGGTGCTTCACGGGAAATGTAGTTTACAGAGCCCGCCGCCTCCTACCTGAGTAGTCAGAAGGTTCTGTTGCCCAAAAGCATTAACCTTAACTCTTGGTTTCAACACTCCTTCCTTCAGCCTTCTTTTATCCGTATGTAAGTACTGAGAACTCTCTAAGTACTACAGACTGTTCCAAGAATATATCAGAGAACAAAATAGCACTACTTTTGTGCTTTTTTTCAGGGTCTCTAGTCTAGAAAAGGGAAGTAATTCAATAAATCTTAACAGTGTGTTAAAAGGCAATAGCAAAGCATCTAGCAAGAGTCTTTAGTGCTGGAACTTGGGAATGTGCCTATACTGTACACAATTAAATAACAAGAAGTCAACACTGCCGGACAAAGGGACACACAAAGGCAGGCAGACAGACAAGCATGCAGGCAGGTACGACGCAAGAGCACACGCACACAAGCGCGCGCACACACATTGAAGGAAAAGGAGTCAGCAAAACAGAAAAGCGATACCTAGGGTTCATGATGCATTGGGTTCATATGCTATCATGAGAATTTCAGGCTTTCCCCTGAGTTGCCAGTGGTTAGAAGGTTATCGGTGTGACTATGATGGTGGCGGCAGATGTCACTTGTAGCCCCTCCCACTCCTTTGAACTTCTGTTTCTTGCTCTGTAGAATGAGGATAGTAGCATAGACCTACCAGACTTGTTGTGGGGCCTAGGAGGACTGTGAAGCAGTCAGTGCTGTGTCCATCTGACCCGCCCTCCCATCCTAGATGTTTCCAGAACCCAGCCCTCTTCCACTCTGAGCTGCTCACAAGCTGTGCATAGGATGGAGGGGAGGGGTCACCAGGAATCCTGCACAGGGAAGGCAGAGGATGGACTTCTGTTGTGGAGTAATCTTGTCATAGCCTCTGTAGAAAGTCTCTCTGACATCTGGACCTCCACAACAGAGTACAAAGAGAGAACCCAGCTGGAGAGCCAGACTTACAGCTGTCAACGCTCCTAGGAGCAGGAGAGAGGGGTTACAAACCTCGAAGGATTAGCAGGCCCAAGCATGGCAAACAGCACCAACAGGTCTTGCCCTCTCCCTTACTAAAACTGTTAGATCACAGCCCTAAAGCTAAGCACCAAGATCCACTCTCTTATGTGGCCATTCCCGAGGCTGATCACCAAGGTCCTGAAACTGATTATCAAGGACCATCGATCAAAATTCATTACTTGGCTGCACTGATAAGCATATCCAATCAGGACTTACCAACTTATCCCACCTCAGGCTCCCCCCTTTTTTTGTTTTGCAAACTATGCCTGCAGAAGCATCTGCTACTGTCTGCTCCATCCAGAGGCAGCCCGCCCCCTCTGCTTGCCCTCTCTGAGATGAATAAATCTTATGTTGAGAATTTTGAGTCCGGGCATGTTCTGTGCCTTCAGACCTTACACACATGCAAACTTGGGGTAAGAATTGATTCCCACGGTTTCTACCACATATGTCCAAGGAAAGGTGACTCGAACTGCTTTCCCAGGTGTGGATACCAACTCCCCCTGGACTCCTCTTTCTTATGTAAATCAACCTGTATTTCAAAGGAAGTGTTCCTACGTATTACTAGTAAAATGGAAAACATAAGAATCGTGTGCTTGGCAGCTCACATACTTACCACTTTGGAGTTCTATAGCCCTCCCTTGTCCCTGCTCCCCAAACCATACTGACTTGTTGAGATAAGGACTGGACACAGGCATGGGGCATGGTGGCACACACCTTTAAGTCCAGCAGTTAAGAGGCAAAGACAGGAAGATCTCTATGAGTTCCCAGCTAGCCTGTGCTACATAGTGAGACTGTTTCAAAGAGCGAGAGCGAGAGAGCAAGAGAGCGAGAAAGCAAGAGAGAGAGAGAGAGAGAGAGAGAGAGAGAGAGAGAGAGAGAGAGA